GGGGGGCTCCACCTGCTTCGATACGGGCGCCCCAAACAGCCAAGATCACTCCATGAGGGGAAGGGGGAGGGGGGGTGCGAGGGCCCACGCCGATCGGCAAGACAAGGCATAAGAAGCACCGATCACGAAGCGGGTCACATCCTCATGATCCCGTCTGGCTGTACACGGCCCGCGGCCCAGCCGGGCGGGGCTTTTTTTTGAGCACAACCGCACACTGCATGTCTAGAGCACGCTAAAAGTGCCAGGGCCGGCCCTGGAAGAGCGTGGCACACGCGGCGGCAGCCCGAGCGGGCGCCCGCTGGGGCCGGCGTGGCCCGGCGCTCCTCCGAGCGCGGGTGAGCGCCGGCGCGCGCTGGCCCACCGAAGCCCCCCCCCCGTACGACGCCAGGCGAGCGAGCTCCACGACGCGCAGAGCAGCTGCTCTCGCAGAGGGCCCGGGTCCGCCGATCGGGGGCTCGGCGATATCCACGGCGAGCGAGGCGGACGTGTGCTTCCGGGGGCCTGCTGCGAGTACTCTGGATGGGGCAACAATCGCCCCCCCCCCCCCCTTGGATCCGCTGGGGGGGGGTTGGGCACGTGCTGTCGGAACGACGGGTGGAGGGGGGTTTGGAGGAGGAGGAGGAGGAGGAGGTAGGAGGAGGAGGAGGAGGAGGAGGAGGAGGAGGTTGGCGGTGGGAAGAGGGGTGAGGAAGGGGGAGGAGGTGGAGGAGGAGGGAGGAGGAGGGTAGGTGGAGGAGGAGGGGGAGGAGGTATGTGGTGGAAATAAGAAAAGAAGGAGGGGGCAAGCTCCGTCGGAAGGCTCGTCGCCCACCCCTCGATGGATGCCCCGCCCAGAGTAGGCACTCTGCGATTCGTGGAGCGCGCTCGGCGAGACGCGGGCGGTGCAGCGAGGGCCTCGAAGGGCTGCGTGCCATCGGGGGGCGCTGGACGGGGTGCACACGCACAGGGCTTCGGTCGGGCATGTCCTCGCACAGGCGGATTTGGGACGAAAAAAAGCCCCCCCAAAATAAGAACAATCAATCAACGCAGCACGATACATCGTCCCCTGACTATGCTTTGAACCATCCTTGACTCCTCCTCCTCCTCCCCCGCCTCCTCCGCCTCCTCCTCCTCCTCCTCCTCCTCCTCCTCCTCCTCCTCCTGTGGAGGGACATGCCCGACGCAACACTGGGCTAGCGCGCGCCCTGAGGATCATCGGCCGGAGTGCCGCGCGCCTCGGGCGCGCGCCCCGGCCGGCGACAGGGAGGAGGGAGGACAGAGGAGCAGCAAGATATGGGACGCACAGAGACATACTAATACTATACAGGGCAGGTTTTAGTACATAGGATTTTTAATACATTGAATGTTTAATACATGGATATCGCCGTCGCCCTCATCGGATAAGGAATCCTCCCGGGTCTGAAGCCTCCTAGGCACATTCCTTAACCAATGCCGCCGCCGTATGCCCTCCTTGGAGGCGCGCGTCCGACCCGAACATATAGTACACCCATCTTATAGTACATCGTTTCCCGAGCAGTGGGGTCAGAAAGCGCCCGCCACGACGCATGTACATGCTATAAGATTTCTCGGTGCGCGCGTCGCCCCTGGGGGGACGACGCACATATAGTATAAGTAGTATGTTGGGGTGCCGCCGAAGATAAGACGAAGCTAGGACGAGGATAAATTCGGGCGAGGATGCATCGATCGTCTCTGAGATCCGGCGGCTCTGGAAGACGCCTCGGGCGCCGCGGCCTTCTCGGGGCGCTCCGAGAGCGCTCCGAGAGCGTTCCGAGCGCGTCTGGAAGGGATTCCTCCTCGGCCGAGCCCCGGCCGTCCGACCAGACGGCGCGGGCGTAACACTGCGGGGGTCCGCGCGGACTTCTGGGGACGGCGCTGGGCCTCCGAGCCGGGTCCACACAGGGCCTCCGAGCCGGGTCCACACGTGGCGGACTTCGGCGACCCTGAGCCCAAAGACGCTTCCGTCTCTTCGGGGGCGCACGTTTCGCTGCCGCCGCCTTCCGCCGCCCTGCCGCTGGCTTCCGCCTGCGGGGGCGGCCTCGTTCCACTTCTGCCGCCCTTCCGCCGCGGAAGAGATGGCAGCTCTCTCGGTCCTCGAAGGCAAGGAAGGCCCTTTTCGGCGGTGGGCAGACCTCCCTTTAGCAAACCACCCTTTAGTGACCTGGACCCGCAAAAATGACGGCCGCGACGCCCCCTCGCGAACCGAAAACGACCAATTCACACATCATTCGAGTAGGGCATCGACTACATAATTGATTTACCCCAAACTTGATTTTCTCGTCGAATCCTGGAATACAGCGTAGAAGGTTCGTCCTACGATCGTTCTACGAACGTTTTTGTTTCATGGCTCCACTGAGAAAAACAGTTCTGGGGTGAATCAATTCTGTAGTCGATCCCCGATTCAAATCATGTGGATCCGGCGTCCTGATACGTGAAACGAACCACTCGGACCCCCGACATCTCAAGCCGTGCAGTTCTGCAAGCACGCTCCGCCAGGAGGACGATCGCGAGGCCTCCCGAGTGCGATCCGAGCAGATGGGGTTGGAGGGGCGCGCCGCAGCGCCGATGCATCGAGCGAGCACGGGGCCCCAACAGGACCACGTGCCGCGAGCGAGGCGAGCGAGCACGGGGGCCCCTGGTGGCGAGGGGGAGGAAGGCTCCTCCCCCATCTGGGCGGGGCGCGCAGGTCAGCGCCCCGCGGCGAGCAGCTCGGCCAGCGCCGCGCTGCAGCCGCTGCCGGCCACATCCCGCGCGGTCCTGCCGGCGCCGTCCGTGGCGGCCACCTGAGCGAGGAGAGGCGGCGGGCCTCACGCCAGGGAGACGCGGCGACCGCCCGCGCCGCGGCCCACGCGGGCCGCCACTGCGGCACGAGGCGCGTGGAGAACTGCGCGCTCACGCGCGGCCTTTGCGCGGGAAAGCCTGCGCGCGAGATGTCGGCGCAGCCGACCCCCGAGGAGGAGGAGGAGGAGGAGGAGGAGGAGGAGGAGGAGGAGGAGGAGGAGGAGGAGGAAGAGGAGGCGAAGGAGGAGGAAGAGGAGGCGAAGGAGGAGGAGGAGGAGGAGGAGGAGGAGGAGGAGGACCAGTGTAAACCCAATAATCACCAACGATGTTGGAAGTAACCATCCCTCCAAGCTCCCTCTTCGTAGGCCCCTACAACGGTTCATTTCCATTGAACTGCCTCGTTGGAAGACAACCGTTTGAAGACCTTGACGCATGCCCAAACATTGTTCTCGGGATTTCCGCGCCACGGATCGACTGCTGCGTCCTGACGATCTGGAACCGTGCCAGAAAGCCATATTTGGGACTTCAGCACCACGAGTCAACAAAAAGGCTGCCCCGCATAATCCTGAATCCTTCCGAAACGCAGTACGTTGATCATGGGAATCCATGGAACGCTTGCAATTGTTTAAAACGAATGTACGCGGCGCTAAGGCGAGAGCCACATTAAAAAATTATGCTGACGGAGTTCCCCACATAAAGATGTTACGGGGTTCCATTGCTTCTTGTCTGCGCTCTGGTGGGGCCTCCCTGGAGGGGTGGGAGGGGCACGAAACCTGATAAATAACATGGTGTGCGAATACCCTGCCCGCTCTGGTGGGGCCTCCCTGGAGGGGTGGGAGGGGCACGAAACCTAATACATAACATGGTGTACGGATACCCTGCCCGCTCTGGTGGGGCCTCCCTGGAGGGGTGGGAGGGGCACGACACCTGATAAATAACATGGTGTGCGAATACCCTGCCCGCTCTGGTGGGGCCTCCCTGGAGGGGCGGTAACGGCACGAAACCTAATAATAAACTATGGCGTGCGAATATCCTGCCCGCTCTGGCGGGGCCTCCCTGGAGTGGCGGGAGGGGCACGAAACCTGATAAATCATATGGTGTGCGAATGCCCTGCCCGCTCTGGTGGGGCCTCCCTGGAGGGGTGGGAGGGGCATGAAACCTGATAAATCAGATGGTGTGCGAATACCCTGCCCGCTCTGGCGGGGCCTCCCTGGAATGTTGGGAGGGGCGCGAAACCTGATACATAACATTGTGTGCGGATACCCTGTCCGCTCTGGTGGGGCCTCCCTGGAGGGGTGGGAGGGGCATGAAACCTGATAAATCATATGGTGTGCGAATACCTCCTCGCTCAGGCGGGGCCTCCCTGGAGGGGTGGGAGGGGCACGAAACCTGATAAATAACATGGTGTGCGAATACCCTGCTCGCTCAGGCGGGGCCTCCCTGGAGGGGTGGGAGGGGCACGACACCTGATAAATAACATGGTGTGCGAATACCCTGCTCGCTCAGGCGGGGCCTCCCTGGAGGGTGGGAGGGGCACGAAACTTGATAAATAACATGGTGTGCGAATACCCCGCTCACTCAGGCCGGGCCTCCCTGGAGGGGTGGGAGGGGCACGAAACCTGATAAATAACATGGTGTGCGAATACCCTGCTCGCTCAGGCGGGGCCTCCCTGGAGAGGTGGGAGGGGCACGAAACCTGATAAATAATATGGTGTGCGAATACCCTGCTCGCTCAGGCGGGGCCCCCCTGGAGGGGTGGGAGGGGCACGAAACCTCATAAATAACATGGTGTGCGAATACCATGCTCGCTCAGGCGGGGCCCCTCTGGAGGGGTGGGAGGGGCACGAAACCTGATAAATAACATGGTGTGCGAATACCCTGCCCGCTCAGGCGGGTCCTCCCTGGAGGGGTGGGAGGGGCACGAAACCTGATAAATAACATGGTGTGCGAATACCCTGCTCGCTCAGGCGGGGCCCCTCTGGAGGGGTGGGAGGGGCACGAAACCTGATACATAACATGGTGTGCGAATACCATGCCCGCTCAGGCGGGGCCTCCCTGGAGGGGTGGGAGGGGCACGAAACCTGATAAATAACATGGTGTGCGAATACACTGCTCGCTCAGGCGGGGCCTCCCTGGAGGGGTGGGAGGGGCACGAAACCTGATAAATAACATGGTGTGCGAATACCCTGCTCGCTCAGGCGGGGCCTCCCTGGAGGGGTGGG